ATACTAATAATGATAATAGTAATACTTAAATTTAATTTTTATTTTATTATAGATTAAAATATTAATTTATTTTAGTTTTAGTAAATTATGTAACTTAGAATTCTAATTTGACTCTAATTTTTGTTAAAACTATAAATCAGAATTTTAATTATTTAGACCAATTTTTTAAATTTAGTTTTAGCTAATATTACAAACCAAAATTTTAATGTTATAGTATATAAAATAAAATGCTGTTTAGAACTATATACTAAAAAAATAACTAAGTAGAAAAAAAAAAGCTAAACTATTTTAAGATTAATAATTTTGTTTAGATAAGTATTTTTAAGATTGATTAGTTTAATATTAATTATCTTAAGGATGTGGTGACTTAGTAAAGTGGATAAGTTGTCATACTTTCAAGTGGTAGGTTGTAAGTTCAAAATCCACTAATGGCAAAATTTGGATAATCACCTATGTAATATATAGATGGTATTATGATGATGACATTCTGTCGATCAGTTGAAATAGGATACCTGTAACTATGATCGCACCAGCATGACTGGCAAGTCTGAGGCATCTGTGTAATTTGTTGCACAGAGGAATGCAAACCAGTACTGGGTGATGCAAATCTAAAATAAGTCCTTGGGCTGTGTAAATTCATAGAACTGAAAAGCCAGAGCCTACTTGAAAATTCCAAGCAGAGAGGTAACATGAATCTTTGACAGTACTACTATAAAGGCTAGACCTAGAAAATAGATACCAATGTAAAGGATTCAGGCAGGCAAGAACCTCAGGTAAAAGATACCACCAACCAGGCTGCCAGATTTTATACCAGAGAAAAAGGATATTGGGCCAGCCTTAATATACCAAGAACAGGTTACAGTTCTTCTAGGCTATCTGAATTGAGAGTCTGAGTTCAAAACAGAGGTATACTAAAAGTACTAAGAATATGCTATAAAGTTAGTACTGAGGTCTGGGTAAACTCTGCAAGGGTAGCCTATGTTAGTGTTCTAAAAGTGAATAGATAGTTAACAACAGAGGGCCTCCTGCACCTTACTGGCAGGTGACATACTCTGAAATATATAATGGCCTATAAACTAGTACAAAAAGGATAGGTACCATACTGCTCAGATGATATACCAGTTAGGTATATATGAGAGGTTAGTTGGAGATTCCAATATGACAGAGCGGATGATCAGAAGATTTAAATGAATAATCTTCTAGTAGGTTATAGGTACAGCATCTAGTGTAAAACCTTAGGATGGACTATTTAAATAGGCAACCAAAAGTTGCATGTGTGACTAGCTGTACTCTCATCTCTGTAAAAATAATTGTAATAGCTAACCCAATATAAAGTCAATAAAGTATTGGCACAAGTATAGTTTTTAACAAAAAAAATATTAATTATTTTTCTTTGTTTTGTAAAATTTTAAAAGAAATTAATAAGTAATAATTCTAACTAGAATGCAAGTTTAATATTATCAATGTATACTATTTTTCAATGAATTCAAAAAACTTGAAACTTTTTTTTATTCTAAACTTATCAGAATTTTACTAGACAAAATATCTATCTGAGAAGCAGCAAAGCTTCAAAGAGTTAAAATAATATTGAATTCTATTTGCAGTTGTAAGAATTTATATAATACTAATAAATGTAAGTATAAAAAAATTGAAAAAATATACAAGTTGATATTATAGTGGTGTTTTTATTTGAATAAAAATTAGTTTAATATAATGTAAAGTTATAATAAATAAATAAATTATTTTTATTGTTTTCTATTGTAAGCAAATAAAATTAACTAAATTATATATAATTTAAAAAAAATAAATATTTTTTTTTAATATGATTATAATTGTTTTTTTGTTTAATGTAACTATAATTAGTATTTTAACTTATGTCTCAGATTACAATTAAGATATTTCAAGTAACTAATATACAAGTTATATACCTTATCTGATAATCACTATCTAAGATGTGTTATCTGCAATTTAATGCAAAAAAGAATATAAGGCATAATATATATAAAAGTTTTCTTATATCTTAATTATTCTTTAATAAAATATTATTTATCTATTTTTATCTTATTATTATTAATAAAAACTGTTCTTTATTTTATTTTTTAAATATATTTTATTTATTATTTATTATTATTATTTTTTTTTTCTTGTAATAATATAAAATGAAAAACTAATTTTCTAAATCAATTATTTGACAAATACTATCTTTATATTATTAAAATTTAAAAACTATATATAACTAAAAATAGTCTAATTATTAAGAAGTTTTTTTTAATTATGATTTACAAAACTTTTTAAATCTTTAAGTTTAATAATCTTTGTAAAAGATAAACAATTTTGTTATATCTAATTTACATAAACTGGATGATAAAATGTAGTTAAAAACTAATTCTATTGTGATATCTTATAGTGTTTAAGAAATTGGTGAATTGGGGTGTAGCGATCTAGTGAAGTGGTCAGGTTGTCAACTCCCAAGTGGCAGGTCCAGAGTTCAAATCTCAGTATTGATGGAAAATTTGAAAATTCTCTCTGTATTACAGTTAACTGTCTCTAGCAATTGGTTGGGATAAGATACCTGTAACCTGTATCACACTAGCATGACTGGCAGGTTATATAGCATTTGTGTAATGGTCACATGACATTGTCCTTTGGGACAAGGTCTGTAGTTACACAAAGAAATGCAAACCAGTACCAGATGGTGCAAACTTACAATAAGTCCTCGTGGCTGTATAAATCATAGAAACCAATAGAAGGAGATGAAAGCCCACTTGGAAGACCTGAGTAGAGAGGTAACCTGAACTTTCAACGGTGCTACTGTAAAGACTAAACTTGTAAAACAGAGCTAGAACTTGTGAAACTGGGCAAATGTGCTGGTTCTTGGAGAGGGACTAAATAAACCAACCAGGCTACCAGAATTTCCGGATTCTGGAGAAAAAGGGTACATGCTGACAAACATGTAAACCAGAGATATGATCTCACCTTACCTTTCCAGGCTATCTGGAATGGCAGCTTAGTGGAACTTGAATTGAATACTAAAGTAGTAAAGATATGTTGTAAAGTCAGTACTGAGATTGGAGTGAACTCTACAAAGGCAAAAGCGGTTTAATGGTACACTCTAACTGCCAGTGTTGGTCTCAACCATAGCGATACCAGGTCAGCTGTAAGAATAGGATACAGAAGATTCTGGAAGGTTTAGTACAAGGTTAAAGGTTCAAAGAAACTGCTTTAAAAACTTAGTGGCCATGGCATATTTTTATCAGCATCAGCTGGGGTCATTGGTAGGCAGAGGTAGGTGGGTGAATATGGAAACGGAGTGGTTAAATAGGGAACCTACAAGTGGGTTCCAGGTATGGCAGCTAGTGTAGAACCTTCAGATGGACTACTTAAATTAGACAATGACTAAAGTTGTACAAGTGGCTAGTTGTACACTCTTCCCATGGTTGCCCCCTGTGGTTGTAATGCAACCATTAACCAAATATATTATCAATAAAATCCTGGGTCACAAGTACTCACCTTAATATTTAAAAAAAAAAAAAGAAATTGGTAAATTTAAATTTCATTTTAAATATATATATTCATTATTTTTCTTTTATTATTTTTTTTTAAATAAAAGATTTTTTACTTGACACTTATACTACAACTTGTTAGTTTTTAGTAATTTTATTACAATATTAAAGTTTAAATATATTTTACAAACCCAAAATCTTGTTAATAAAACTATAAAATAAGTAGATTAATTAACAGAAAAATCATCTAAACTTACTATTAAGTAATATATTTTAAAAAATAACAACCTATATACAAATTTAGAAAAAACAAAATCAATCCTAAATGATTTTATTAAGACAATACAGATTAAGCTTAGTAATAAAGTCAGTTAATGTTATACGGATATAGAATTAAGAATATCAAAAAGTCTAAATAAATTATCTACAAATAAAAGTTAAGCATAAAACCTAGCAGGTAACCGTAAAGCAAAACCTTTAAATAAACAATAATTAAAATTGTACATGTATTTAACTATAATTTTACTAACTAGATTATATCTTAAATTAACATTAACAAATAAAACCACTGTCGATTAAACTTATTTAAAAAATAAAAGAAAAAAATAAATAAAAATAAAATAAAATAAATAAACTTCGAGTTATTTAAACCCCATTCAGGTTCAGATAAATCTAATTTGAATTCACTTAAACCGAATCTGGATTCAAGTGAACCTAATTCATGTTCACTTAAACCTAATTCGGATTCACTTGAACCAAATCCGGGTTCGCTTGAACCCAATCCGGGTTCAGGTGATCCAATTTGGGTTCAGGTGGCCTAATTCTGGTTCAAGTAAATCTGGATTGGATTTAAATATTTATAATTTCAAGTAAAAATATTTTAAACTTAAAATCGTACTTAGATCTAAGATTTAAATTAGCTTAAATTTAAACCTGGGCCTGAGACCTAGTTTAATTTTACAGTTTTAAAAAAATAACCCCTAATTAAAATTCTTACATAAATTACATGTTTGATATCTGTATAACCTATTAATCCTAAAACTCACTTCGCTTTAGCCAACCACCCTATGGCATAAATTTGCGTCTGCTAGTAAATTTCACAAGATGGTTTTCTAATTAAAAATTAGAACTATTTGTTTACGTTTCGATTTTTACATTACACTTGATCCTGAAATTCGACTGGTCAAAATTACAAGGGATGAACAATTTTTTGTGAAAGAGCTAGGCGCGTTTTTAAAAAGTTATATAGTAACCATTACATTAAAGATTGTAGTCAATGCTTAATAAGTGAATTTATAAATCATACCAATTTAAATAATTTACATTTCTTATTGCAATATATTGCTTACAGTCATATAATCTGTTTATTACCATAATATGTAATAAGTCTTCTTATATGAACATTTTTGGAATTAGAAAATTACTATAATATTCAAAGTTTATATTTCACACGAAATAACCAAAACATTTTTATGGAAAAATTTTTTTTCTATAATACTAAATATCCATCTCATCTCCTGACGGAGGAATTTGGCCACCCGGACAGAGTTCTTCAAACGTTTTATCGAAAACTTCCTGGAAATTATGGAATATTAATAATGGGAACAAAAAAAACATGTAAAGTATATCATCAACTTACCTGTAATTTTTCTGCATCATTATACACTGTTGATGCCTCTTCGTTGAATGTTCTTGCATTATTAAACATTAAATGCCAATCATCCCGAAATTGGGCCGCTGATTGGTAATAATTAATCTTGACCCTACGCTTTATTGTATCCATTGCAATTGGATTATTAATGACCGTATAATAATAATCGTATTCCTTTTTGCTAGGAAGTGTAAGGAAAAGGTATGCTCGCTGTCGAGGCTCTCTATCAAATGAAACCAAATATATAATTATTTAATCCAACATAGACATTCAAATCTAAATGAAATGGTTATCAAACCCTTCAGTATCATCCATTAAGTTCTCAACTGCAGAATAGCACCTATTAAAAATACGTCTCATCCGATCCCGAGTATGAGGCGATAAAGTATCAGACGATGTTTGCTCATGAATTTTTTTAGGTTGTTGCTTTCGTTTTTTCTAGAAATTTATAAAAATAGGTCACTCAAACGTTATTACCCATGCTATTCGCAAAATAAAAAAATAAGTTACACTTTTTGGTGGATCAAATGTTTCGAAATCGCTCGTTTCAATTCGTTTTCCTTTTCCTTTCTTTTTTGATTGCTTAGACTGTATGTCGTATGTATTGTTATCATCAACACTGGGCATTTCATCTTTTCGTGGTCGTCCACGTTTCTTTTTATATTCGGCTGCATCCGCGCTTGATTCATCTGGATGTGGTGTGGAATTATGTGATATATCCGGATGTGTGGAAGTATGAATTTTTTGTGTCTTTTTAACCAAACGCCGCCTTTTAGCAGCTTGTTTTTTAGCAATTAGGTCTTCGACATCAATATCTTCATCTTCAATAGCCTGTAAAGAATATATATAGTTGAGATTCATAAATGTGTATATGCTCATTAATTATTTTCTTACATTAACCCATTGCTCTTCTGTTAATCCATCATCATAGTGAACGGATCCTCTCGGTCTTTGACCCCGGCCATATTCTACTCCTGGTTCATCTTGTCGTACAATTGCGTCGTACTCTTTTATATATACAGGTGGCAATTCACTCTCCTCTATTAGTCTATCCGGGCGTTTTCCTTTGCCTCCAGATTTTTTCCAATCCATCTCTTCTCTTTGTATCCTCTCCTGATCAATTTGTTTGAATTTAATAAGTTCATCGTCATTACGAGCTATGAGCTCGTTCAGTTCCTCATCATCTAACTCATCGTCATCTTCTACATCATTTATTTCGTCAGTATCCACTTCAAAAATCAAACGCTATATGTTGAGTATGTATTATTCGAACGTTAGCTACGATTAACATGCATTAAATTCAATGAACAGTTAAAAAAAAAAAAGGTTAAAAATACCAAAAGTTCTTCACGCTCGTTTTCTGTACTCTTATTATCAAATTTGCCGGCCTGAATAACTTTACCGTCAATGTCCAATTTATATTGAGCTCTAGCCAAAATTGTTTCTTCAATAGATTTTTGTGAGATCAGCCGTAATATACGAACTTCTCTAGTTTGACCTATACGGTGTGCACGATCCTGTGCTTGCAAATCCTGGTGTGGATTCCTAAATTAAATTAGATACTTAATTAGGCCTCGATTCATGTAATATAGAATAAACATAATTTTATATTTACCAATCAGAGTCGAATATAATAACAGTATCAGCTGTTTGCAAATTAAGGCCAAGACCACCAGCTCTGGTACTAAGTAAAAATACAAAATAAGGCGAATCCGGGGAGTTAAACGATTTCAACAAATCTGATCTGCTCTCTGCCTGGAATAATTATAACATATATATCAGCCACCGTCATCACAAAACCACTTTCTGTTCGAAAATAATTACCTTCGTGTTACCGTCCAACCTTAGATATTTAAATCCACGCCAATTAAGAAAATCTTCCATTATAGTCATTATAGCGGTCATTTGAAAAAAAATCAAGACCTTAATATGATTGTAGCGTCGCATGAATAAGTTGTTAACATATTTAACGGAATAGTGTAGTAAATTGTAGTTACATAAACAATAAAATTATACCTACTCTGTGTCCTGTAGCAAAAAATTTTGGCAATATGCGATCCAGTAACTCAAACTTGCCAGATACTCTGTACAGCAAAGAACTGTTTATTTTTCCAGGATTTAAGTCGTTTTCAACTTCTTCAAAAACAAATGGATGATTACAAATTTTTCTCAATTGCATAATAGTATTGTTGAGGCCTTTTATTCCAGTTTTTCTATAAACAAAATTAAATTAAGTTTATAGAATATTCAGGTAGATTCTGCTAATAGACTTACTTTACCAACTAAACAATTATATGTAACATACCCTTTCTCTCCAGTATTAACAAACAGTACGCCATGTTTTTTCATTTGACTGTAAAGCTTTAGTTGCAATGCTGAAAGCCTGCACTTAATCACATTCTCTACTTTATCAGGTAATTCTGACTCAACATCTTTCTTTAATCTACGCAATAAGAATGGTCTTAAAACCTATAAGTTGTTTGCATAATTTTAGCAAAAATTTTGATTTATGTAACTTGATATACATAATACAAAACAGACCTTGTGTAAGCGTCGAATAATAAGTAATGATTCTTCTTCGTTTAGTGCTATTTTGTCTTGCCCTGCGGCATTCGCGAATGGAGTATTAAACCATTCGTCAAAACTTTTTACGGAATCAAAGATCCTCGGTAAAATAAAATTCAACAATGACCATAATTCTGGCAAGTTATTCTGAACAATAAATTGTGAATCAATCATTCAAACATAGGCAGATAGGAATTTTAGCATATGAGTAAAGCATATAAGTAATAAAGATTAATAGAAATAATAATACCTGTAAAGGAGTTCCAGTCAGAATTAAACGATAACGGCATTGATAATTATTTGTCAAAATTACCGATAATTTTGACTTAGTATTTTTCATACGGTGGCCTTCATCAATAATTACATATACCCATCTCAATTTGCTTAATATAGATTTATCTTTTATGATATATTCGTATGTTGTCAGGAGAACTTGAAAATCGACATGTTTGATAAACTGTTGTTGAAGTTCTTTACGAGTATTAGGCGCACCCTTGTAGACACATTTCCTTACAGTTGGTGCCCATTTATCGAACTCAAGTGTCCAATTTGTTAATGTGCTATTGTAACAGAAGAGTTTTCACATTACGGTTAAAACTTGCAAACAATAAACAAATAAACAAATCGATCCACTACTTACGACAACGGAACTACAATCAAAAATGGGCCATTTTGCCTTTTTCTTTCTATCAAATACGTAACTAAAGATATGGTTTGGATCGTTTTACCGAGACCCATTTCATCAGCAAGGATACCATTCAGACGGTTATTATATAGTGATACCATCCATTGCAATCCTTTGACCTTTTACCGTTTTAATAATTAATATTAATCATAATATATTCTATAAATCGTTGGACATGTCATATAATTTACCTGATAGTCCTTCAAATTTCCTCCTATCATTATAGATGGTTGTTCAACTTCTTCCTTGATTCTATGGGCAACAGCATAATAATCGACCTTCTTCCCATTCTATATAGTTAATTTGAAAATAGCAAGTTAAAACGAAATTTAAGTGTACAAATGGATATATTCTTAAGTGTACAAATGGATATATTCCTAACGTACCACAATAGTTATATTTTCATCTTCCCCGATATCTACCTCTTCATCCATCAATTCAATACCACCCCTTACAATAGGATCTTTGTGTAATTCGTCACGTTGTTGAGCAACAACAGCCTGAGCCAAGGAATCTAGATATTGATCCGTTTGTTTTAACAGATGTGTAATTCTTGTATCCTTAACTTTATCAATAAGCTTCAAATAAGCCTCTTCATCATCATTTTTCAAAGCTCTTAAACGTTCTTTAGATAATCTCTCCAATCTCTTCTGTTCTTCCTTCTCGACTTGCGAATGATAACTTATAACTGCGCGACCAAACTTAAGTTGTTTCCCTTGGCTTAAACGATGCCATTGAGTCAAATCACGTCCATGATTACAAATACTCTGCATTCGATCTAAATGCTTTTGTTTTTGACGACGTTGTCTATCTTCACGTTGCTGCTTTTCAAGTCTATCTGTGATCCTAGCATCACGCATCGACTGTTTTTTCATTCTTCTATAGTTAGCACGATTTGTAGTTGTAGCTAGTGTTGTAGATTTTGCCATGCATTTAATAAATTCTTGACGCATCTATAATTAACCGAACAATGTATAAATATATCTCCCAAATTAAGAGAATTAATTTGAGATTAATGATAACTTGCCTTTTTTTGCTTTCCTAATACTCTCTTTGCTTTCAATTCAATTAACAATTTGGTTTTTTCGCCCTGACTTTGGTACAACCCCGCTTCAAGTGCATATTCGAGTTCGCAGATTCTTTGCTGAACACGGGCTTTTATTTGGCGCTCACGCTCTGCCGCAATCTCATTTGGATCTAGCCCAATTGGCATTATTGCTGGTATTAACATTCTTTGTTGGCGGGATGCATGAGAATAGGTATTGACAGGTTTTAGATAAGTTAAAGGATTTGTAAAGGCGTTATAAAGGGGTGTCGAGGCTGATACTTGGGTAGAAGACGCTGCCTCCGTTGTTGGGTTGGGTGATGTCCGTGAATGATGATTATATGACGCTTCAACAAGTTTTCCACTTAAAGGAGTTCCTGTAATTTCTTGAGTAGACAAGCCCTGAGATTGTCCAGGAGAGAACATTGCTTGTTGTAAGGGCGCAGGAACTTCTAAATTATGAGATATGAGCTTAAAGGCCAATATTTGATATTTCAAAGCGGATAGTTGTTCTTGTGATAAGGGAGTTTGTGATGTCAAAGCTGTCGTTGAGGCAGATCTGACCTCGCCGCTTGAACTAGCGGCTGAAGCATGTTGTTGTTGTTGTTGTAATTGTTGTTGTTGTTGTTGTTGTAGTTGCTGTTGCTGTTGGTGAGTATACATAGGTGTCGAAAATATTTTGCTCTTGGCGAAAATGATTTTTGACATGTCGAAATACTGTAATTTTTTGTGATCTCCCGTGATAATTAACGTTAACGTTAACCAATCATAATACATAATTTTTAAGTATATTTGTTGTATATCGATATAACAAAAAAAAAACTTTAGTTAGATCGTATTATCTTATGCAATTCCGGTTAGTTTTTTTTTTTTATTATTTCCAAATAGTAACATTGTGTCATTAATAAAAAAGTTCAAAAAATTTAATAATTAAATTTTTCTAAACATGTTTTATTTCAATTAACATATTGATCATTTTTGCTTAATATAATTGTAAACCAAAAAATAATTTTTTTTTATCTAATAATTTTCAGTTGTGTAGGTTCTATCTATATCATGAATTGTTAATCAAAAAACTTTACCTTATTTTTTTTAAAACAATGATTTGTTAAAATTGTTATAAGACAAACTTTAAATCTATAATATTTGATTATTTACATAAAATTTTTATAAAGTATTTGATGATATAATTTGTTATTTATTGTATTATAGATCTTAGAATAGCTGCTAATACTACAAGAAATAAAGTAATTTTAAATTATAATTGAATTAGTTTAAATTTTATAATGAATTTGGTTTAACAGTTTTTTATAATATTTTTAATTTTTTTTTTTATATTAATAGTAAGGTCATGCCTTTAACTTTATTGAAATTCAATTGAAGTTTTTACAAAGAAAATATAATATTTTTAATAATATTTATAGATTAAATAAATAAATAAAGAGTTGTAACAACTTAGTAAAGTGGATAAGTTGTTAACCTTCCAAGTGGTAGATTGGATATTCAAATTCTTTGATAGTAAAAATTTGAATAATCACTTATATAATATTTGTATTATAGTAACTATTTCTAATAATTGAATTAAGATATCTATAATTGCAGTCATATTAATATAACTAACAAGTCATAAAGCATTTGTGTATATATAGTATTATACATAGAAATGCAAACTAGTATCAGGTAGTACAAACTTTAGATAAGTTCTTGTAACTATGTAAATTTGTTGAAATTAAAATACAAAAAGTCTATTTAAGAAGACCCAAGTAGAAAAGTAGTATAGATTTTTAATAATGCTACTGTAAAGGTTAGTTTTAGAAAACAGATATTAATATTGAAATATTCAGATAAACAAGAACTCTTAGATTGAAAGTCTTAAAAGTATTACCAATCAAACCATTAGAACAGATTAGAAGAAAAAAGATATTAGATTAACTTGCTATGCTAATAAACTGGTCATGGTCTTATTAGACTATCTGAATTAAAAGTTTGAAGAACAGGCAGAAATATACTAAAATAATTTGAATATGCTATAAAGTAAATGCTAAAGTCTAAGTAGACTTTACAAGAACATAGTAATTTAATAGTTAATCTTAATCACAAGTATTGGTTCATTATAGTAATAGTAAAATAGTTATAAAAATATATACAAAAAAAGTTCTAGACACTCTTCCTGATGATCACTTGGACACAAAATCGGTGGAAAAGAAAATAGATTTTCTGCATAATCAGCAATAAGAAAGGCTACAAATAGCACTAAAGGAAAGAGACAGCAACAA